CAACATCAAGTCTTTATCCAATTATGTGGGATTAACTACTTGATTCATTTTTATCCATTGTGTCCTATTAAGAGTCGAATTCTCATTTAAATCTAATAAAAATTTTATTTCTAATACTTTCTAATCAAGTCATTTTAGGTCTACATCTACTTTTCTTAACATAGGTCAAATCTAATACATCTACTTTCTTAATTGGATTATCGAAAGGTAAACATTTTATGTGACCAAATCATATAAGGAGACTCTCTAATCTTATCTACAATTGGAACTACTACAACTTTTTCCCATATATACTTATTTCGCATTATATCTATGAGTGTAAAGTCACTCATCTACCTGAGCATCATAATCTATGCAGCACTTAACTTAATTTTTTTCTTCTCTTTTAATGACCAATATTCTGTGCCATAAAGCATTGCAAGATTCACTATCATTTTATAGAATTTTCTCTTAAGTTTGTGTTGTACTTTTATAAGACTATAAATTTTTATATAATCAAGTACATAGATATACAATATAAGCTTTTGGTACAGGGGCAATTTTGTTACGTGATAGAAAATTTGTGATGATAAAGTGTATTTTTAATATTTTAGCTTTGAACAATAATCTAGTACACAAAAAAATTGTGAAAGAGTAGAAAATTTTTACGTGGAAAACCCAAGAAGGAGAAAACTCATGATGCATATCCCAATTACAATAATCCATTATGTATTGGGAGATACAAAAAATGCTTACTTCCTTAATAAGGAAGATGGGATTTTATGCAGTTGAGTACTATTATCTAATTTCCATTATAGAACTTACATAAATCAATATTCTACAAACAAAAAATTAAGAATCAACAACATGATTATATGTTAATAGTCAAATGAGAATAGTAGGATGATAGAAGCATGGTGATGGTGGTGGTAATTGTTTATGGTGATTGTCGACGATGACCGTCGAAATTGCTATAAAGTTCTTTAGCTCTCCTAGCTCTTGAACCTTCCCTTAATGTAAAGAATTATACCCTTTTTATAGATTATTTAAGAGGGGCATTTTGGTAATTTTACAAAATTAAAAGCCTTCCAATGTACGTTCCACATCAATTCTTTGATCATAGATCATTTATCAAATCTTTAATTGCCTTAATTATATTAGGCTCGAATAATCTTGGGCTCATTAGATTCATCCTATCAAGCCGCTTGATTTGACTACAAGCACACAATATATAGAGATTATTTAGTTCCTCAATTAATATTTAGAAGTCTTCAAATATGTTTCACGTTCTTGATTGAAGTTCACTTAGAGTCAGATTAGATCATTTGTGGTGTCGTTGGGTTCAACTCGTCAAGACTTTCAATTCGACTATAAATTTGATGAAAACAACGTTCTTTTGATCCTAGAGTTAATTTCAGATGTTTTCAATTTAAAGTCAAGATTCATGTTTTTCCTAAATTTTTAGATGTCAAAGCCTATATTGTTTGAAAATATATTTTAAATCTTTGTAAAATGTTACAACAACATTAAATCTTTATTTCACTACATGGGGTCGGGTACATGAATTATTTTTTCTCTATTGTGTCATGTTAAGAGTCAATTTCTCATTTAAATTTAATAAAGAAAGGTCATTTATAATATTTTTTAGCTAAATCATTTTAGGTCTACCTCTACCTTTTTTAACTTAGGAAAAATCTAATATATCTACTCTCCTAATTAGGTTCTAGGAAGGCCATTGTTTTATGTGTCGAAACCATCTAAGACAACTTTTTCTAATCTTACATATCATTAGAGCTACTCCAATCTTTCATATATATACTCGTTTCACATTATGTCTCTAAGAGTGAAGCCACTCATCCACCTAAGCATCCTCAACTTTGAAACACTTAATTTATTCTTCTCTTTTAATGGCCAACATGTTGTGCCATAAAACATTATGGTCTCACCACCATCTTATAGAAATTTCCCTTAAGTATGATGGGTAATTTTTATCACATAGTAGGCTTGATGCATTCCTCCACTTAAACTAGTCAACTTGACTTCTACTAATAATATCCCCATTTATTTAAAATGTGTACTCCTACAAATTACTTGAATTGCCCCAAGTCACAACCCACCCCCTAGATATATTATAACTAAAATTACACTCAATGCATTCAGTTTTGGATCTAATCAAACAAAAACCTTTAGAATATAAGGTTGACCTTTATAATTTAAGTATTCCTTCAACTCTCTCTCTAGTTTTATCAACAAAATGAATATCATTAGTAAAAAGCATATATCAGGATACATCCTCTTGTAAATGTCTAGTAAGAGCATCCATGACTAAAGCAAAAAGATATGGGCTTAAAGTAATCCAATAGCAATAGAAAAATACTTGGTCAAACCACTCTATATTTGAACACAAGTAACAAGTCCTTTATGTAATCTAGTTGCAATAAGACAATAATTGGTCAAACCATTCTGTGTTTGAGCACAAGTAATAGCTCCTGCATACGGGTCCTTGATGTAATCCAACAACAATAGGAAAATACTTGGTCAAACCATTTTCTGTTTGAACACAAGTAATAGCTCCTGTGTAATGACTTAAATATAAGTATTTTTAACTCATTTCTTTTTTAAAACTCTCAAGAGCACTTCTCTTAGAATTTTATCATATGCTTTCTCTAAATCAATAAATATCATATGTAGATTCTCTTTATTCTCTCTACACTACTCCGTCAAGCCTCTCAATAAATGTATAGCTTCCATAGTAGACCTATCTGACATGAATCTAAATTGAATTTGAGAAACATTAGTATCAAGTCTAAAATTTTTAGAAAATAAAATTATAGTTTCAGAAATATTACGAGGCACAATTACTCCCTAAACGTCAATGTTGATCTCTCTCTGGGGCATAAATCTCATAAAATTTTCTTAATTATAATTTCAACTTTTCACAAAGTCAACATGTTGATTCGAGTGAAAATTATACTTAGAATTCTCAAAGTTACTCAGAGTTTCATTGTAGAGACTTTGTTGGGCTCCAAAAAGTACTAAAATTGGGTACATAACATCAAAAAATGATTTGAATAATCATAAAGATGATGAAAATATGTCTATTTGGGACCAAAAATGGGTTTTAATTGGGCCTGGCCAAGTTCGGCCAACATGGCAGCGGCACTAGTGAATTTCTTGCACCATTTAACTTGGATGCATTATTTTTTAGGCTCTCAGGCGCCTCTAATCTGACGCGTCATGGAAAAAAAAAAAAAAACCTATTAGTTTTTTTGTTTTAAATAGTTGTTCTTTATTTTTTTAATATTTCATATTTTTAAAGATTTATTTTATTCTTTTTTAAATTTTATGACATTTTTTTATTTAATTTCTCCTCTCTCTCTCTCTCTGTATAAATACCTTTTGATAAGGGAAAAACTTTTGCTCCTCTCTCTCTCTCTTCAATCTTCTCTCTTAAGAGAGTTTTTTCACTGTCTTATATATGCAATGCATAATTTTCCTTCGTAGCCTTTAGTAAAATGCTCTCTTAGATACGCGGTGCATATCTATCTTTTAAGCTCTAGTTCTTATTTTTTAAAAGTAATGATTTGTTCTTCAAAATTATGGACAAGATTTAGTTCTCTCAATTTCTTGTTTATAGATTTCGATTTTATCTCCTTTAAAAAGCTCATCATTATCTTCTGAGTATGCTCCCTTTCGCATGTCCAGTAAAATACAATCTTTGATAAACATTGCATACCCTCTCTCAAGCTCCAGTGTTGTCTTTGTCATGAGTACGGAACCTCATATTATTGATATGGTTTGTCAGTGATACCCAAAATTTTAAATCTTTATGGCAGAGCTCCTCCTTTCATCTTTAAAAAGGGTTAACTATATTTGTTTTGAGAGATTTTGATTTGATAAATTTTCATCCAATTTTAAACTCTAATTTTCTCCCAATAAGGTGGTAATTATTAGTAAAAAAATTGTTAAAGTTGTGAGAATGATGTTGACAAAATTACTTTAACTCATAGAGTTTGACTTTTAGCTTGATATTGATATTTTGTTGGGGATGTGAAGTACTAATATTGGTGACAAAGCCATTGAAATTATTTGAGATGTGTCATATATTCGTGTTAGAGTAATTGAGATTTGCGAGACCTTTCATGAGTATATATATATGTAAGACATACTTGAAATTTCATGAGATTACCCCTTGATTGAGGCAAATTATTTGGTGTAGACACCGGACGTAGAGATACGTCCGGACATCCACTGAAAATGTGACACGTATAGTGCACTTTTGTTGCACATTTTTTTGTACTTTATCTGCATTTTACCTACGCTTTAGTTGCAATTTAGTTGCGCTTTGACTGCTCTTTTGTTGCGCTTTTTTACTGCGCTTTAGTTGCACTTTACTTGTGCTTTTGGTGTGATTGACTTAAAGTTTTGCTGACACATTAAATATATTAAATAAAAATAAATCCAATTGAAAATCCACTTGTCCACTCCACATGTCACATTTTGAGTGGATGTCCGGACGTATCTCTACGTCTGGTGTCCGCAACAAATATTTGCTCTGGATTGGACCATAATAAATCAGTATTTTGTAATCTTCCAAAGTTCACACATTCTTCTAAGGCTTGTGTCTTATGAGTTGTTCAAGAAAAAACTTGTATTTTATGAGGCTTTTAAATTTTTTTGAGATTTTTGAGAGAAACCTGTACCTTTTTGAGACTTTTTAAAATTTTTAGATTTTTTGAGAACTGGAGAATCCTACTGTCTGAGGCTCTTAGCCTTATGAATTTATGTCTTCAGAAGTTTTTGGATGGTCACATACCTTATATGCACATCTTAGCGATGGTACTCTACACTATGAGGGCGGATGAACGCGAATAGCAGACTTCCGCCGAGATACGTCGACACTACAGGAGCTCTACTGCAAAATGGAAGATATCTATGATGGACATGTTGTCATATTCTACAAGCTTCCTATTCAAAGCCTCCACAGCCTAGTCTCCATCTCATCTGCTAAAGATTTGGACAATATGTTGAACAAGTATGACTACCTCAAAAAGACCTCTAAATGTGGATACCCCATGCTTCAAGTCTTCCTCTTCCTCTTATCAAATGGGGAGAATTCTTTGGATGAGGTCAATGATACGGCTTGCAATAACAGCGGGCTGAGTTGCATCGAGGAAGTCAACGGAGCTACTAAGGCTGATGGATTCAAAACATACAAGAATGACGACCAAAAGCCACCACCTCCATGTTGCATGTAGATGACAAAGGTGATGGAAGCGCTATGTCTCCTATCATTTTCTTCTTCCAGTATTTCTTTGGCTTCTTTCAACTCATCATTAATAGACTTTTTAGGGAATGAAGATAATTTCGTGCTAGAGCATCAGAGTTTTTTTGGCTCATTCAAATATTAATGATGAAATAAATGTGGCCCCTCAAATAGTCAATCCACCGAATGATGTGCCTTACGTTTTACCAACTTACGAAGAGTCTCGTCAGATTCATTATATTACACCCTCTTCTTCTGCTATAACCCATAAACCTCAACTGGTAAATATGATTATTCTTCCTCAACACTCTTATATACCTTTTCTTTATTCACATGCTAAAAATGTGACAAAACTTTAATCTCACAAAATCTCATTAAATATAATTCTTATTTTGTATGTATTATTCATGTACTTAGACATCTTATGAAACTATTGTAAATCCTCTGAAGTCTCTTCATGTGAGTTCTTTGTAGCAAAAGCATCAATTGTATGGAGATTTTTTTCTAGAGATATCCGATTCAAACTCAATCTTCAGAAATCAGGATCCTTGAAATGTTCATGGTCCCTCGAACATTGATTCATATTTTGGGCATTTTAGACATACATGAGGTTTGAAAATTTCTTTATAAGAGTAATACATCTCAAATATCAATATCAAATTATTATTATTATTAACTTGAATACAATTATACTTATAATTTTCTTTTTATGCTTGATTATTAAGACATAGGCACTTATGAAGAAGATGAAGATTTTCGTAATCTTGTTGAATTAGTTGAATCAGTGATTCAGTCCCCTTGAAGTTTGTGTCTTCACACTTTTATTTTGATCAAGTGAATTAGTACAATATTTTTTTATGTGATTATGATATATATAGACAACTCACATTTCACAATGCTTCTATACTAGTTTACCAAAAAGTTGAGGTGATACATTTTGTTCTTTAGAAACTAGTTTCTTCAATTTTTTCTGGACAACAAGACTCTAACATTTATCTTATCTTAGATTTTATTAAATCATAATTGTTTAAGTGGAATATTAGTTGGTTTGATATAATTTCTCCCTGACCTTTGGCAGCAAGTTTTAAGCGGGATATAACCATGCATAGATCACTTAGCTTAATCAAGTTTTTTCCATACTTATTTTGGGTTATTTATATGACTTTCCTTAAAAATATTTTGAAGTGCATTTTGTTCTAGTAAGCATTTAAAGGTCATTTTAACCTTTTCATTTTGAATGTTGTTATTGTTACTGATGCTGTGACAAATGGTTTTGGATTTATTGTAATGGTGTAGAGCTCATAGTATAATTTTTAAACCATTTTTATTTACTTAAGCCTAATGATAGACTCCCCATGATGTCGTCCTAGAAAACATTGTCTGATTTTGTGGTCATTGAAAGGACTATTGTGAGGCCTTTCAATGACAGATGTATGATCAGTTCCAAAAATATGGATGGCTCATGAGGTATTTTTTTCAAACATTCTTCTACCTTGACAACCTATATATACATTCCAAATGTCATCCCTCTCTTCGTCGATCTCTATATAGGTTTGTGAAGCTTCCAGACCTCACATTCCTCTCATACAGTTTATCTCTAAAAATTCTCTAGGCATTCTTAAGAACAAATTCCCATATACTTCTGCTACAAGTCAAAGAAACTAACTAGGTACTCAACTTTAAGAAGACAATTGAAGCTGCTAAAGATGCAATTGTCTGCACCAAACAACTATTTTGTAGTATAGCCAAAAGATAAGATGTCCTATTAATTTTTACTTGGTGAGTACTCTCTCCTTGAAGGATTTTTGTTCGCCCAATTTGATAGAAGAATAGGCAACCTTGCATTATGTGTCTTTAAAAAGCTGGTGTGTCCAACATGTCAGTACACTAATATTGTTTAACCTAAGAGGAAAAAGTGGTAAAAAAATTAGTTCCTGAGTTAAAGAGGAAAAAGTTGTTTAAAAAAAACAATCAAACAGTATCATGAGCATCATTGGAAGTCTTCTATCTAATCCTATAACGTTGATAATGTTGTCTATCTATCAGACCATTGTTAGTTTTTTTTATAGACCTGATCTGAAATGATATAGCTGCATTGATTATATGTCTAATGGGTGGATTTTGTTGTCATAGGTTATAGAGCACAAGCCCTATGATCATAAGGCTGATGTTTTTAGTTTTGGAATCGTGCTGTGGGAGCTATTAACGGGGAAGGTAATCTGTTCATGGCTTTCATGTCAATGAAACTTTGGGTTTTGATTTATTGATTCGGATTACTGTCTCAGCTTCCTTATGAGTACCTGACACCTTTGCAAGTAGCAGTTGGTGTGGTTCAGAAGGTATGCTTTTCTTCTCATGTTTTCTTCTTTTTGTTCCTCATTTGGTGTAGAGAAGCTGGCCTCTAATTCTCATTAACACATTTTCAATACTATCTCTATAATATTGAAAGGATGAATATTCTATCATTTTATTTAATCATTCTTTAGTCACTTAACGCCCTCAAGGACTTTCTAAGTAAGCACAAAAAAAAAAAAAAGCATGAATCCTTAAAATGCTATAGGGCGACTATAAGAAGGGATGATTACTCTACCATTTTATTGATTGGTTTTGTTAAGAATAAAGTGGCATCTACACTTTCTACGTCTTCTATGGCTTGTTCTCCCTCAAATCACACCACGCGGCATTGTCACTGCAGGGTTTGAGACCAACCATTCCAAAGCGTACTTGTCCAAAGCTTGCTCAACTTCTCGAAATGTGCTGGCAACAAGACCCTGCACAAAGACCAGACTTCTCTGAGATTCTGGAGATCCTTCAGCTAATTACCAAAGAGGTTTGGCATTCAGTAATTAATGCTCAGATTTTTATACACAACTGTAAAAATGGTAGCAACAAGATTAAAAGTAAAATATAAAATCAACTAGCTATTATGAGCATTTTATGAAGGATGTTTCTTCTTGAAGTCTGGTCTATAAACAATAAACTTATTAAAGTACTTGATTATCATTTTAAACTAAATGTCCAACAGAACCTTTTTTTTTCTTTTTGGGAAATATTTGAGTGCTGAAGCATAAATTTGATGTATGGGGCATTTGATCCTAGGAACTTGATCATACATCCAAGATCTTTACTTAGCTATAACTGGCAACGACAACAAATGGCAGATTTTGAACTTGGGCTAAGTGTTGAAGCACATAAAGAACTCAGCCACCAGGCCAAAATGCTAAATAATAAGTTAAATGTCGAAGTCAACTTGGTATTTATCTTGTTTATTAGTTTATATTTCCTTACTAAACTAATTAAACAAATCTACCCACAATTATGAAGCTTGATAAATAGACAAGTCAAGCTGCAAACGTATTACATTATTGGATCTTCTAGTTCTTTCTGATTCTCTAGCTACGACATCCTCAACAGCCCAAGCAGCTTTTAAGTGATGATTGCCATTTGTTAGCACCAATCATCATTAACTAAATTCACTCCAGGAAATTTCACGCCTCCAGAAGGTCCTAGCATGATCAGTGCAATGGAGGAGACGACATGGCTCTCTCACCATCTTGGTTCTCTACCTCTTCTTGCAAAGCACCGAATTAACTGTATGAGAACCGCCATCAAACCCAATATGGAAGCTCGGAACTATGCTTATGCAAAGAAAATGCTCAAGCTCCTCCTCTGGAAGGCTCCACCAAGCAAGCAGGAATGCCGAATGAAGTGAAGAATCTGATTACATAGGGCTCTAAAACAAATCAATTGATGTAGAGGAATATCCCTCTCAATTCTGTTAAGGCAAAGTAATTGTCATCGCTTAATTAATTGTCTTTTTCTGATTAATCACAGCCCTTTATGTTTAATCAATTGATTAATTCTCTACCATTAGGTATAGTATATAATGCATATAAAACTTTCTGTTATGTACTGTTTAAAGTTATACAGCACATGTTAGAGTTCTAATTTCAGTTTTTCTTTCTCCCATTTCTTTGCTGTAATTCTTCAATGCCTGCAGTCGTCTCGCAACAATTGATCATGATATCAGATTCTTCAGCAGAATCTTCCCAGCTTTTCGTAATATGATTTCAATCTGTTAATGTATTTTTTCTGTTATTTCTCACTTCTTGAGAGAGAGACACAGAGAGAGAGAGAGGTTTAATTCACTTTTGTAATGAAATTTTTTTCATAATAAAATCTAATATTTTATCTGTTATTATGATTATTTAAGCTTTAACTTTTCAATTTCATTAAATTTGGGTTGACCATAACCCAAAAAATTTGGGTCAGGTTTGAGTTGGGTTTTCGGGTCATGTCAAATTTTGACACCCCTGATTGGCTACAAAGTAATTACAAAATATTTTTACAAGGAATTTCAAACTAACTATTTCAAATTTGGTGTGTTTCAAAATTGCTTGAAATGGAGATTTCAAAATAAACCATGCTAGATGTTATTCACAAGCTTTCTCTTTCCCAACCCCAATTATCTTGCAAGATTTAAGAACATTTACTATTTTAATGCCCTCCATTTAATAAATTGAGGGATGATATTCTTTAAAATGTCAAAGGTCTAGTCACGTTCAATAAATTGGTGCATTGCATTTTCATAGCTATCAATGTAGAATGAGCAACAAATGTCCATTTGAATGTTGTAAGAATTAAGAGCAGCCACTATTTTAAGGCTCATCCATCGTAGTAAGGCATATATAAGAAGAATACATTATGACATTATTTTTGTGCCACACATATTTCTACTAGTGAATAGCCTCAAAACTAACCTAAAATTTGTATATGAAATTTTAAACAAAATGATGTCAGAATCAATATCAACTTGAATGGGAACATATTCAATTAAATTAAGAAGAACTTCACAGAAGAGATCCAAGTTAAATTCATTTATCATTTCTTATGAGAATGGAGAAAGAGCTACCCAAATTAGCATTAAGAAGCACATAATATTCAAATAAGACTTCACATAAACCTTACCCCAGTTTAGGGGAAAACCTATTTAGGATCCTAACTTATATTTTGCTAATTTCTTAGAAATCTGTGCAACATTCAAGTATAATGGAGTTTCTGATGACATCCTTAGATTTTATTTATTTATTTATTTTAAGGGATAATACAAAGATATGTTTGAATTATTTACCCCCGGACTCTATAACTAGTTGGAATGAGTTAGCCCATAAATTTCTAGCAAATTTCTTCCCACCTTAAAAATAGCTAAGCTGAGGAATGATATTACCACATTTTCGTAATTAGCAATCATGTCTAAGAAGTTGGATAATCTTGGAGTTAGTAGAGCCTCAAGATCATCTATGCCTTTGGAAGAAAATTTGTTTGATTATGTTAATAATCCTAATATCCAATTGGTAAAGAATGTGAATGTTATTGGAAGACCAAATAACACCTATTCCAATCCAAGTTAGAGAAACTAACTAAATTTTAGCTAGAGTAATAATAATGGTAGAGATCAGTGGAATGCAAATCAATTCTCAACAACCTATAGTTAACCCTAAAACTTCTTATTCCCAAGGATTTAATCAAAATAATAAATTTAAGGATAAGAAAATACCTTCATAAATTTTTTTTTCTTTAGATGGGGATTTTATTATATAATCAATCTAATATCATTAGGAACTTGGATAATCTATTAAGGCAGCTAGCCACTTCAATGAATAGTAGACCCCGTGGCATATTAACTAGTAATACTAAAATTAATCTCAAGGATAAAGGTAAGTAGTAGAATATTGACCGGTTGAGGAATATTATTGATGTGAACTATTCTAAATGAGAATCATGGCATAGTTTAACAAAAGACTATACACTTATCATTGCTTGGGAGATAACACAACTTTGTATTTTTTATTGATTCATGTTTATGTTAGTTTGCATTGAGATTATTTAAAATGCATGATAATATTGTGTGTATGTGCAATTATTGAGTGTACATATATGGTTTTAATATATAACTAGATTTTTTTAGAGAATCTAAAGAATATTTTGAAATTGAACTAGCAACATAGTGTTATTTCCTGTAACATCGCAACACTATTTTCTTGAGCACTGTAGTGCCACACTCTTAGGAAATTTGGATAAAATGCAATGTGAAAGCATTGTTCTTTTAAGCATCGCTATGCCATTTATATCCCATGGACACCTTAATGCCATCACTTCTAGCATTGTGATGCTAAATCACTTTATATAAAGTAATGAGACATTGCATTTAGCACTTCTAAAATTTCTCACTTCAAAATCAAGAAAAATTAATGAGCATGCAGTGCTGCCTTAAGCACCACAACGTCTTGTTAAAACCATAATTATGTTAGTTAGAGTACTACTATGGAGTTCTTTCCTCAATTCTACAATGCTCATATGTGTCAAATACCATAAATTTCTCTTTATAAAAAAGCCTAGCATTTTTAGTTCCAATGCCAGCACCATGGAGTCATTTGTCTTGTAGTTTCATGACATCAATTCCCATGTCAACCTATTTTCTCATTAATCTTGTACAACGTCAAACTGCTTAAAATTTTATAAAACGCACCTACTATTACAGATGGAGTTTTTTTGGGTCAAGCCATTGGCCTGCCTTTTACTTTATTTCTTTTGTATGTTTAGACAATTATCGATGACTCTTTAGGGTTTATTTCTATTTTGATTTTTGTTCATCGAGCTTTAGTGAGCTATTGAACCCTTTAAGAACCTTGCACCCTTTTTTGATGATGAAATAAAATCTGCGTCCATAAATGAGCTTTATCAAAAGAAAAAAACAAACTTCTATAAAAATAGTGAAAAAGTGTTAAAAATATTTTTTAAAAGTTTACAAAACAGACTTGACGCAAGATGAGAAACAATAATTGATGCTTTAAGAAACTTTCACGAACTTTGATAACTTTAGAAAAAATTTCAGCATGTTAGGTTATCCAATGATAAATTATTGTTAAAAAATTTTCAGCTCAATGGAAGAAATTAGTTGGCTATTATAGTAGGATATTACACTTAAAATTTTTCAAACATTTTCTTTTTTTTTTTCCCCTTTGAAAAGTAATAATGTTTGATTGTTATTATTTTGCATTAAGTATAACAATTGCTTCTCAAGATTTGTCATAGATGAAATGGATGATAATCCATTGCTCATAATGTGATGTTGCATTGTAGCTTCTTTGAGCTATATTTAGCACAACTTTCTTAATGCTTTAAAAAGTAGTTTTTAGTAATAAAAAGTTTTACTTAATAAATAATTTATTTGATTTAAAAAAATTGAGTTTTGAAAAGATTAATTTTATTTGGACAAATTTAATTTTAGAATTCTAGTATTTGAAATCGAACAACCGAGGAGGCGAAAATATCATTCCTTAATGGGTACACATTACAAAACTGTAAGTTCATCATGATTATCGTAGTCAAGCTCAAGAAGAACCACATATGACCCCAGAGGTTCAAAATGATATTTGATCGAGTATTTAACTATAATAATCTGGGCAAGAGATTATTAATTTCATAATCAAAGACATGATAATAAATTGAAATATCTTCCCAAAGAACAAAGATATCATTTATCAATCATTCAAATATGATGATAATGATCGTCAACTTTGATTTTTCCAAATATAATTAATTGAGTTTTGAAGAAAATTGATTTTGAAAATTTTGATCTATATTCTAAATCTCCTGTGAGCGTAAACTCTTGTAGTTAATTATATAATAGGAAATCAAAGTTTTCTATGAATACTCTCAATTAAAAATAATGGTAGAAATTTTATCTAGAATTTTCAAGGAGTGAAATCAAATGATTGAAGCTGGAATTTCAAATGGAAATGGACCAAAACTAAACACTGATTTGTGGAGGTCAAAGGAGGAGAGATTGGAGGTATCTTGAGATTCTAAAATAATTCAGAAACACCCAACCTATTCTAAGTGTTGGGTTTTATATTTTGGATTGGAGAGAATATTTTCATTTGAATTATCATTTTATTAAAAAATTTGGGATTATATTCTTAGAAGTTGAGGACTTAAGGCCTGAAAATGCCTTAGAACATGTATCTAAGTTGGATACTGAACAACAATGACCTGAACCTAACTTATGTAATGCGAAACTGGACTTACCCTGACCTGGATTATGGAGCCAACAAGCCACCTAGGCTCTTAAAAACTATAAGTCCTATCCTTTTTATGAAAGAGTGGCAGGAATATTATTTAATTAAGTTTGAGGAATCACGACTGACATCTAGAGCATATCATAATTGGCCCCTTGACTTATGTATATTAATTGATACTTGAAAGTAAAATGCAATTAGATTTTTAATTCTTTTAAATTTGTTTCTAATGCAATGAATGCTAATTAACTCGATAAATACATAAAATTTATATGAAGTAATTTTAAAAAAAGACTTAAAAATAAGTTTTTTTTCCTAGAGATTGTATAACATCCCCTTGATAAGACTGCACACTAACTGATCAGATGGCCTTCGAGAACCCGTTGGCGGGGAGGTACTTAATAAGGAAAAGAAAATTTAAAATGAATGCATGCAAACTCCCAGGTATTCCCTAGGCTTACTTCTTAAAGTCATTTAGTTTTTATGTTAGCTTAAAATTTTTAATTTTAATTAGAGTAGAAAAAGTTTATTTGTATCATCACGATCCTCCAATTGAGTTCCATGCTAAAACAAAATTCACATGCAATAAAAAAAACCTAAAATATGCCATTTTTACTACACAATTAATTAAATTTAATATTCAAACTAAAAGTCCATATGGAAAGTACCACTTAATAGTACATCCCATGGTCAACAAAAAAAAATAAAGTGGTTGAGTACAACTGATAAGAGCCCAAATTCTACTCCTAAAATACAAGAGACTTTGAAAATGTGATTCTTCTCGATCTTCACTTCTTTGTACTTCTACAAACTCTGTGGATCCGTCGGATCTTGATAGCCAAATGAAAAGAAGCTCCCCTCTCTCCCCCCCCCCCCAATGAAAAGAAA